TTTTCGACCCAAAAGAGTTTGGCCAACCTTTGAAGGTCATACGTGCCTTTAAAAAGGATGTACTACTGTTCTACAAATCATTCTCGAGGATATCTTCTATAAAGCTATCGGGGAAATTTTTCTTTGCTGAAGACAACKGAAGTTCTGCCACTATGAAAATACTCATCGTTCTGGCCCTACCGTTGTTGGTCGTGTGGAGTAGTGCAGGTATTTTAAAGCGTCCCACACTCGTCAGTGCATCAGTGCTGTTTATATTAATACCTCTTTTTTTCAAATTTGCCTGTTTTCCTTTTCTCCATTCAGGAACCGACGTTACGGATTCCTTAACCCTTCGTGTGTTCAACAAGGATCTGTCGTTGAGCGATGTTGAGATGCACAAGATCCTCAAGRAAGCCGACCTTGAAGGCCACGGTTACCTTAAAGAAGTGACGACGACAATGAAACGCAGACCAGGCAGTAGCGAACCTGACTACGTCAAGACCTTCTTCTACTACAAGGTCGTTGCCTGTGACAAAGTCATGAAGGTCGAAAATGAACTCAACAAACTCTTGAAAGGTAAATAGAATCTAAACTTGTTTTTACTCCTTCATTTTACTTGCACTATGCGATCACATACTACTATATACGAACTCCTAGTTTAGCTACCACTAAGTAATGATTGTACATGTGCTTGGGTATGAGCTTTCCTTATAACTGGTATCCTTTCATAGCTAAGCGTTGCGACAAAGATTCTTATGGCAGGTATACGCCTGCTAAGGCGTTATCCTCTCAACCATTCCGAGGCTTTGCAAGGGGTCCGTGGTTGGAACCCCACGTGTATAGAATAGTAATATGTGAAATTAGTTCGTTCGATGTATTGTTCTCTCCTATCGGGCTGTCAGGGTTTTCGCCGGAACCTCCGGTTTTTCTCCTTTCATAAAAATCAGCGATTCTATATAAATTCTAATTAGTTTCAGATGTTAAATACTTCTTTGTGGTATATACGTCGTTACTGGCCCTCTTTAAAATAACGACTATTGTGCATGATTAATATTCTTTTTCTTGTCCTTTCTTAAAGGTCTTCTTGGATCATCTGTTGCCAGAAAGGCTTACAAAGATGTAACAGAAAGAAAGATTAACTCAGGAAAGCAGTGCAAGGCAGGAGTAGAAGTTCACTTTCGAAGCAACCAAAGTTGTGGTCAAAAGAAAGCGCCTCGGGTCAAACGAGGTTGCGGTTGGTGTCTTATCTGCTTTAGTGCAGTGGTGCATTAACATTATTGACTCAAAATTTCAGTCAACAAACAAAAAGAAAATATAATTTCTTCTCTTCCTGTTAATCCCAATAAATAACTCGTAAGAAATAACTAGGAAACCGCATGCAGTTGAAATAAAATGTTTTCCCCTAAATCATAACGTCTGACGTGTACTGATTTTGTTTTAAAGCAGTCTGTGAAGAAAAATGTGCATTAATTGAACATCCTAATTTATGGGCCTGAATGATATTCAAATTTAAAGCGCGATTAAAAGCGGCTCAACGGTATTCCCTCATCGTCCTAGGCGGGTGGGGTCCCTTATTAGTGCGGCAGGGCAAGAAACGCGAAACTGAATGAAATTCTGTCAGTATTTTCATTAAACTAGGAGTCTTCTTTTTCGACATCGTATTCTTCGTTAAAATGACTGATTTCTTCTATAAAATTATTTTGTATCGCTTTCCTGGTATTTCCCGTAGCATTATGCTGACTTTTTCTTGCTTTTCCTAATTTTCTTTTGGTCATTTTTGAAGAATAAGCTTTTCGCTCAAGAAGACGCATAAAAGACTATCCCTTTTCACACTTTCACCATCCTTCTTTTGCCGCGTTCAATACATGCTGTTTATTGATACCTCTTCTTTTTTCTTTCTTTCTTTCTTTCTTTCTTTCTTTCTTGCTCTCCGTTATTAGCATTATGCCAAGGAGGGAACATAACGATAATATTTAGCCGTTATATTTTATAATTTTAAAAAGTCCTAGGATATGACCAGCCTTTAATGTAAGACGCGTCTAAAACATGCCGGTAGTTCTGTACTTCCAAGCCTTTAGAAGTCTTTGATATTATCTTTAATGTCAAATAGCATTCAAAATCAATTTTTTTAATGTACTTTATGGCCATGAAGGTCTCTTCATTACACCCAGAATATGTGCGCAAATGTTAAAACTCATCGTAGTGATAAGTTTGGCATGAGTGCCAAGGTACGAGGAGGGGTGGTCGAGCCTAATCAGCCCCTTTGCATGCAGAGGTGACCATGGCCACCGGGCCACAGTCCACCGCCCACCTGGCACCTGTCACACCTTTATAGGTGGAGATACTTACCATCACGCCCTAATCCTCTGAAATTGAGAGGTGGGATGGGGGGAGGAGGGGGGGCAGAGAAAGAGCAAAAAT